GAACCTTGTAGGAAGAACTTAAAAAACAATGTCTTTTCATCCTTAAATAGGAGAATCAGAAACTTCGTGACCAAAATGATGATCTTAATGGACAGATTCTAAGCCTCAGTCTTTATGAAGCTAAAAACCTCTTTGCAACGCAAACAAAAGCCCAGTCACTGGCTGCTGAAATCGACTCTGCATCAAGAGATGAGGTAACGTGCTTTTCTAATCAGGTATTACATCCAAGAATATGCGATTTTCCATGTAATTAACTGTCAAGGTTGAACTCTCTGAAGTTGACAAATGAACAACAGAAAATTCTGCTTTGCTGGGAGTTCAAGGGTGTTAGAAGATTGCCTTAAATATAACACTGTTCTGGTATCCTTATATTATAACTCTCCCATTTTCCTCTCAAAAAAATTTGAATTATTAGAATCTCATGAGCTGTTTTACAGTTCTAACATCTTGTATCTTGCAGAGTAATGTGAGAGTGTGACATTAATTTCATACAAAAATGGCCATTGGTAGTTACTTTAATTTTTACTTTTTATTTTAGATTTAGTTCTAAATTACTTCAGTAACAAGCTCTCACTTAGATATTTATTTGAGCTATATGTTCCCTGTAGCAGAGCTGAATTCTTGGAGAAAGTAACTTATGTGCAAATAATAACTTGGTAATGCTTTGAAAGATATTTTGGGAGCCCCATTTGTATGTGGGCTGAGTCCAGCTGGTGTAGCTTCCTCTGAGCTCCAGGAGAGATTGTGAGATCTGGCCAATGGATACATGAGAGCTTCCAGGGAAGAAGACAGGTTAGTGGTGAAGGAGATCAAAGGAATTATTTGTCCTTGATGCTCTATCTCTTCCAGACAGAACTTCCCATTCTTTCATCAAGTAAAATTGTGAGACAGAAAAGTCCTTTTTACCCAGTCTGTACTGGACTGACCTGTCAGCCTTAGCTCCTGGGCAGGCCCTTGAAGTGAAGGCCCTTGAATTATATACTTGAAAATCAATTTCTTGCTGAACCAGAGCACTGTGAGGAAGGGCTGTTTACTTGTTGATCTCTAATTAGGTAAAAGCAAACTGGCTTTTGCTATTGTTAAGAAAAATCTGACTTTGTCCTGTAGCTCATGAGAGGAGTATCCAGCACTCTCCCTTTAAAGGAGGAAGGTGCCTGAAGGCTGTGTCCCAGACTCAGCAAAACCTCACAGACTTGCACAAACTGTTCCCATTGTGCCATTTTTCCTGTATGATCAGAACAAATGTTGTAATCTGCAGATTCAGGATGGGGCTTCTGTGAAGTCATATGAAAATGGACAGGCAAATAGCATGAGCTTTAGGAGGATCTGGGGCTCTGACACACCTTGGCAGCTTTTTCAGTTTGGCATTAAACATTCAGAGACAAAGAAATCTTCATATTTGGAGAGTTTGAGGGGCCTTTTACAGCCCAAAAATCTGGTGAAACACATATAATTAATATAGAACACTGAACAGCAATTGGGTTGTTGTTCTGGAGTATGCAGTGGTTGTTTTGGGGTTTTTTTGAGAGAGTATGCACCTGATCCAGAGGAAGCACAGATTTTTCCTGGTGCAAAACACTGAAATAAATACTAGTTCTGTTCAGCAGCCTTTCATGCAAACACCTTTAGATTTCAGTAGTTATGAAAAAAATTGAGTATCATGAAGCTCTTGCTATGAGACAAAGCAGTTGATCCATGGTATGCAGGATGGATTGGCATGTTTCAAATGACCTGCAAGAAGATCCCTGGAGATGACTGTTCACCACCACCTCTGATAGCAAAGATCTGTAACATAGAGAATTGTTTCTAATACAGATACAGGGAGGAGCTTGAGTTAGAAAACCTGCAACAGGAGGAATTGGTGATCCTGAGCACTGGTCTCTCACCTGACTCAATTTCAGGCTGTTACATAAACTGCTGAGAATATTTCAGGAGTAACTTGGAAATGTTGTGTTTTAGCTCATGGAAGCCCTCAAAGAACAGGAAGAGATAAATTACAGATTGCGACAGTATATGGACAAGATAATTTTGGCAATCCTGGACCACAATCCATCTATCTTGGAAATAAAGAATTGAAGAGAATATGAGAAGGAAAAGCAGCAACTGCCTGATATTTCTGCACATGCCACTGGATCTAAGCAGCACTCTTGATACTGTAAATGAATCTATAAATATATATACACACTAGGTGTGAGTGTGGGTGCGCGGGTGTGTTTATATGATGTTTGGTACACTGTTATTTGTCATTGAATTGGCTTGGTTAGACTTTTTCCATGCACTTTCAATACCTGTGATGAGATGGATACTGTATATTAATGTAATAACAATATAACTGGATCATGCTGTTTTAGATACTGGACAAAATTACTCTACCTCTAGTTGTAAAAGTAAAAAAAGACAATGGAAACATATGGATGTGGCCCTAACTTAAGGAGCAAGAATTTTTTTCTTCGTTCTTCCAGGAATTTGGGTACCACAAACCAATTGACATACCCAGGTTCAGTTCCTGACTGGGACTGGTGCTGACTGTGCAATTTCCTATTTGATTTAGTTTTAATACTTTAATCACACATCAGATTAAGAAAAAACACAAAACAAAAAAATACAACAAAAAACAAACTTTGGGAAAAGACACAAAGTAAATGGGAAGAAAAGGAAGATATTGCAGAATTTTTGCTATTTATGAAAAATCACCATCCACTTGTTTGCCACTGTCAGCACAAAGTGTTTTTGATGTGAGATCACTTTGGAGCCTGCTTTGGGATGCTCTGAGGCTGCTCTCCAGTGTGTGTGCATGTGTGTTTTTTTATGCCAGGGTCCCTGTAGCATTGAGGCAAAGAGCTTTTCAAATCTGTTCCCCTATTTTCAGGGGTATATCATGGGCCATTAAGATGAATTCTGGGATTCTGCCCCTTCCCCTCCTGCTGATTTTAGAGATTTCACTGAAGGAATACATTCCATTTCTTACCAAAAAAAAAAAAGAAAAAAAAAGAAAAAAAAACAACAATAACAAAAAACTTGCATGAAATACCTGACTTCAGGGGGAGGAGGAGGACCCACCCTCGTCATGATGTGCTGAGTTGCTTTCCCACCGCAGACAGCTGCACTCCTTTGAGAATGGCATTTTTTGGGCAGGCTGTGCAGAGGAATGGCTGGTTCCTGGCACAGCAGCAGAGGACAGTCTGATACAGAGTGGCTTTTAGGCAGGAGAAAGAGCTTCATCTTGCAGGAGTTGCCAATCTAGACTGAGTACACATGTGCATATCTAAAGCTCTGAGTAGGGAACACATCCCCATTTAGATGAGCAGTTGTGCAGGTGCTTAAGTGTGTGCTGCTCATGGGTGTCAGTGGGACAGAACATTAAGCTTTAAAGTTGAGCGTATGCTTAAATGCTGCCTTAAATAGGGATGACTTCAACATGTGCCTGTGTTCTCCAGAGCTGGATCTATACTGTAGGGCTAGGACGTTTTTAATTAATAATGTAGCTTATATAAGGAGCCTATGGAATTGTTTGGGTAGTTGAATGCTAAAAACAAATTTTATTCCATGCACTTTTTTTAAAAGTAAAAGTTTCACACTTTTGATTCACGCCAACTGGCACAGAAAAATCAGCCAAGTGTCTGGCTTTCCCCAGTGCATAGAGAGATGTTTCCTCTATTGAATACACTCCCCAGAAGAATGTTACAGTAGCAATGACTGTGCTTTTCTGTGTATTTCTTGCTGTTGGCAGTGTCTTGCCCCTAGTATTCTCTTGATGTATCTTGGTGTGTATATGTGATGCATTTTTCCTGAATTTGAATACATAAAACTGTATTCAGTTATGGATGTAAATATATATATATTTTTTTCTGCAATCTCTGTGCTCTTGCCTTCAGTGATGTGTTACTGGAGTGATGGGAAGCAGGGGACCTTCTGAAATCAGGCGTTCTTGAAGGCAAGAAAATAAAAACAGTTTGTTTCTGTGTATCTGCGTAGGCAGGTGTAAAGTAAGTGTAAAGAAAGAGGGACCAGAGGAATGAGTGAGGGACACAAGACTCCTGTGCACAAAGGTCTGCAGTGCTCTGGGAGAAATGGGACAATCTGGTTCAAACAGTTATGTCACAGGGCTGTGTTCCTGGGGTAATGTGGAAGAAAGGATGTAAAGATCACTCCTTTGCCACCTGGGAATGGTGTAAGATGTAACACTGCAGCGGCTTCTGTTTGTGTAGAAGTAGATGGATCCCCATGGAAACCCCACACATCCACCTTTCCCACCTGCTGCTGTCTCTGGATGTGCCACCCAGAAGGTGGGAGAGGAACAGTCCAGCCAGCTCGGTGCTTCCTGCCTGCAGGACTCCTCACTTGCACTTCAGTGATGGCATTTCCCTCTCCCTGGTGCTATCTGTGGGTAGTGCCAAGGACTTTACTTTTTTTGTAGGCCACAGAGAACTCTTCCACACTGTCTCAGGGGGCTGTTGCAAACCTGCTGTGACAAGCAGGGCTGGGTGACCCAGCAGCCCTGCCTCTGGAGCTGACTGTTTTGGGGAAGTTGCACTGCTGTCCTGCTCCATGGAGCAATTTTCAGTAAGAGTGAAGCTGTTGCAGCTTAGGCTGGTGACTGAATGTTTTCCCCTAATTATTTTTAAGTAAACTGGACTCAGCTTCAAAATTTCAATGATCTAAAGCCCATTCCCATTAGGGTGGAACATCAGCAAATGTTGAGGACTGTTTCACTAAAAGCAAAGCCTGTGGACTTGAACAGAAGACATGACTATAGTGAAAGCCAAGTTTTTGTGCAGATAATTGTATGTAGGAGGTGAACAGTCACTAGTAGTGACAAATAGTCACCAAATCTGGCTGATATCCAGAAAGAGATATTTTAACCAGGGTTACCCAGCAGTGAAAATTTCTTGGAACTTGCAGGACTTCTTGTTCAACTTTGTACCCAGCTGTGATAGTATTTAGAAGCTCTTCCTTGCTCTAGTGTTTGCATTTGAAGAGATGTCTTACCACCATGTTGGTGGTGTTTGTAGCTGTGTTTTATTGTGTAAAGGAGGCATCCTTCTGCTCCTGTGGGGCCCTTGGTGTCATACTGCCATCTGTTACTGTGGAAATCATATCCAGATACTTGCTATGTTTGACAAATAATGTGAGTTGGAGGTGGGAGAGGCATTTCACTGGCAGATATATTTTCCTCTAAGGTATCCACCTCTAAAAATACTAATTAGCAATTGCATTCTTAGACTGAGTAACTGCAAATGTTAGACCAACTTGTCTTGCAACTCAAGCCCTGGAGAAGCCTTTTATCCCAGAAAAGAAGTCATTGTGTTTTATGACATGCAGGTAATTTGGTAATAAAGGATCACTTGGTGGCTCACTGGGGCAGGGAAAAGAGTGATCTGATACCAGTTTTGCAGAGAGTGCATATTTTCATCAAGTGTCAGACAGACACTGGCAGAACAGACAGGAGATGTTAAAAACAGGGAGACAACTCATTTTGCTGTCTGTTCTCTGATAAATGTCTTATTTCTTTGCTGTGGACATCCTTTGTGTTCTCAGGCTGGCCAGGAAAGCACAGCCTGCCTCTGTCAGTGTTACTGTTGGTGGAACAAGGGCCTCCCCTCCCTGGGTAAATCACTTCAGACACAGAAATGTGGTATCATCTCCTTCTAGCAATACACAAATGCAGTAAACACTCCTGTGCCAAACCCGTGGTTCTATTTAACCTTTGGAGAAGCAAACACAATCCCAGGTATTGTATCTTGATCTGTTCCTTGGTTCATTTGACCTTACATTCTGAAAAGTTAAATGATATTCTGGTCAAACCTGTTGCAAACCATTACAGGTATTTCTGGACAGTGAAAAAAAAATGACTGGATTTTGGCTAGAAGCTGCCCATAGTCAGGCCAGTCCCACACAAGGTACTGCAGAAAAATTACCTCTTTCCAAAATTGCACTTAAAGAGTACCTGAAATGTAGTCTCTCAAGATTTTTCTGGTATTGGCTGCTTCCCTCCAGACTTCAGCTGCTGCCTAGTTCTGATTTCAGAATGATGCTGATTCAAAATTGCTTTGACATCAAAAGAAGATTTTTCAGCTTTTTGAATAGCTTCTATTTAAGACTGAAGCTCTTTGAGAATTTGTCTTGAAGTGCAACATTGATGAACTGTAACCATCCCATCTATTTTTAAGGAATTTTTAATATGCAAATATATAGGAAGTTTCAAAAAAACCCTAGCATCCAGTGTACTTTTGTTGCCAACTTTCCTTTCATGGCCTTTGGGAAAAATTCAGATATTTCTCAGCCAGCTCTGTAGGGAGTTGAACACAGCATTATTAATTCTCAAAGATGTGTATCAACAAATATTTTGCTGTCTGAGTGCAGCAATGCTCCATTTACTTTGGTAGAACTGCATTTCTCTTCAGAGAGGATCTAGACCGACAGTGTTTAGGCTCCCTAATCTGGTTTGTAAATGGGGCTTGGAAGCTGATATATAAACACACATTGTGGGCTGCTACACGAGACACTACTCAGTGGTCTGTGCATCATAGTGCCCGTGACATGTGATGAGTCTAAGAAGTAGAATTTACAAATAAAAGAATGGTTTTTTTACATTCTTTAATGACAGTGAATATGCAGTGGTTTTCTTTTAAAACAAATACTGTATGGTGTGGTCTGAGGGAATTTTTTCCAAGGAAGGAAGGAAGTAGCAGCTGATCAAACACTTGCCAGATCAGTGGCTTGGCTTATACTGATTTAAGTGAAAACTTGACTCAGACTTTACATGAGCAGTTCCTGGTGTAAGTAGCAATGCTCATGTTCTTGTCAAGTAATTTGTTACTCAAGAAATATTGTCAAGAAATCATGACAGGTGATGTAAAACAGCTGGTTGGTTTTAAAGGACATAGTTCCACAGTTCTGACTATTTGTTCCCTTGCATCTCAGTATTTTTGAATTCAAAGTATTGCTCCTAGGAGCAGTTTGCTGTTAAATCATGCATGGGTTTCTAGTTAATGAAACTCTGCATGTACCTTTAGAGTTTGATGAGGATTGCAGTTGGTGTTGGGTCCGCATCCTGTCATTCTGCATAATGCACAGGGAGTTGCTCTGATGTGTGAGAGAGTTGTTTCTGGGACTCTTCCTCAGTGTTGTGTTGACATTTACACTCTTGGACTTGTCCCCAGCCACTGTCAGGTGTCTGTGTGCCTTGGGGCGGCTCTTTGAGCAGATGGGAGGGACAAATTCGATATTCTTGGCTTCAGTGTGACTTTAGCTACCAAGGCAAGAATTTCAGTCCTGTCTTCGTATCAGGCCAGTCCTACCCTTGCCTTCTTTGTGGTCATGAAAACTGGTTGTGTCCCATGACAAAACGTTGTAGCTGATTCTCATGGTATCCAAGCAGGTAGGGTGAGTAACCCTGAAGGGATCCAGGTGAGGGATCCCTGGGATGTGCCTCAATTCTGTCCAGGTGTCCCACAACATGCTCTACTGCCACACTCTGGGAGGCTCAGGCCTGCAGCTCAGCATGGCCAGCACATCACAGAGGTCGCAGCAGCAGCCACTGAGGATCTGCAGGGAAAATCTGCAGGCAGGGAGGGCCACACTACAATAGTTTGCCACAGTGTGGAGCCAGCTGACAGGGCTCCTGGTGTTCTCTGCACCCTGGGTTTCAGCTTGCTGCCTTCAGTTTGGGGCTTTTGTTCAACTGCAAGAGTAGTACCTGGTCAAACGTACTGTTAGAGAGATTCGTTTTTACTTAAACTTACTTTTACTTAAACTAGCTATACTAATGAAAACATTGACAAACATGGGCTTCTGCAGTGTAATTTGGACAGCTGGCCCTGGAATGAAGGTGCTATGAGTGGAGCAGCAGTGAGCTGTCAGCTTTGCTGTCACTATTCTGGACACGGTGACACCCTGGAAACCCCTCAGAGCCGCTGTGCCCCAGTGAGGGGTGGAAGGTGACTGTTCTGGGGGACACATCTGTGCAGATGGTAAGGAGGGCTGCAGACACTCCTCCTCCCAGTGATGACCTTGCACTCCACAGCATCAGCCCTGTTTTATTTACTACCTTATCCATAGCTAAATTATTCTGGCTTTGGAGAAAGGACATCAGAAAGAGAACCAAGAATTTAGTATCCTGTGAACACTTCAGTACACTACAGGGCAGTAAATGTTGCACTGATATATATTTAAATACTGAGACATTTTAAGAATTACTGTAAAATCAGTTGTGAGAGCCATTTGTTTTTCTCTGTTGCACAGACTAGTCACATTTTTTGCATGGTTACATATTTTAGTACTTGTGCCTTTTACTTCTCTGTTGTGAAGATAACATTTTATTTTCACATTTTATCATCTGGTTTTCAACACTTTTTATATACACTTCTCTAATCATCTGGTTTCTTGTAATGTACATGTGTATATATAAAATAGATCAGATTTGTATTCATGTGCCTCTGAGATGTAAAAATACTCATTTTGTACAGGTTTTTTTAGAAGCACTAGGTCATGGTCTAAATTACGTAGCAAATGAAATTTAACATAATTAGCAGTTCTTTGTCTTCTTTTAGGAATGTTGTATCAGCTGGTTGGTCTCTTGTAAGGCAATGTCACACACTCTGCAGATTTATTGTTGTAGTATTGTTATGAGACCAATTCTATCCACTTGTTGGCTTCAGTTAATTCAAAATAATAAAACAATTAAATGTTACAGTCTTGACTTGGTGATTTTAGCTTTTATTTCCACTAAAGCAAATTTGCTTCCTTTTATACTTGAAATGGGCACCAGACCAAAACCTCATTTGAACACATTGCCCATTTCAGGTTAACTTCCATTCTGGGCTTATTTTTGTGGGATCAGGCAAGTGACTTACTTTGCCCATTGAAATGGAAAGAGAAATAACATTACCAATTCATAGACTCTCCATCTTAGAGTGCCTAAAATTCTTCAGTTATTCCTTCTCTTCCCTCCCTGGCTTCTGTGGCAGTGTGTCCTAAGGACAAACCCTGGATCTGCATGACTGGAGATCTTCCTCTTGCAGATGTGAGAGATTGGGTGTCTCGCTCTTCACATTTTGGGAAATGCTGAATAAACTCCTTCCCTTGTGGTTTGTAGCACAGCACTCTCCCACAGCATTTGGGAAGCTGTGTAGATGCATTGTGAGCCTGGACATCTGTGACTCTGGCAAACAGGAACCTGGTCCTAGAAGTGTCCTTCCCTCCCTCCAGCCTCTTCTTGAGCTGGTGGTTTCATTTCTGGAATGTTGACCCTGCCTTAAATTGTTCCCTCTCTCACATCTTGTTGTTTATCAATATCCCACTCACCAGCCCTCAGACACAGTGAGATCAACTGTGGTAAGTCTCAAGGGAGAAAAATCATCAATATCCCCTAAATCTTCCAAAGAACAAACCTTTTATCTATAAAAGAGTATGTTTCTCTCTCACAGGGCAGAAATTTTTTGACTGAATTTGACACCCATTTCACAGAATATAAAGCTGCCTTAGAAGCAAGGAGGTGGTTTTATTTTTTATTTCAAAGGCTGCTTAGTATGAAAATGAGCAAAGTTCACTTGCTCCATTGTTACTGAAATAAAGCAGCCAGCAAAAATGGCATATGACTATTTTTAATCTCATTCTGTAATTTATAACATCAGTGAAGTGATATCAGTACTGTTGCAATGTACCATTACACTCTTTTCTGTATTTTCTTGAAATAGTTTCTGGGGACAATATGGCTGTCCTTGCTTCTGTGGATCCTTCAGGTAGCTGTAATGTACAATCAGATATGTAAATAAATTATTTCCTTTCCCTGCATGACTAAAACGTTGTCTGTGGTGGGTGACTGATTCAGTGTCTCTCCTTACCTTCCTCTCTGGTCCACCTCTCTTTCTGTGCTTCATTTAAAGAAGGATTGCCCAGTTCTGTTCTCACCTCCCAAACACCAGCTTCATTCGCTGTGCATGAGTTACGCAGATGGCACCAGGGAAGGAGTTTGCTCAGTACACGCCTCACCTGACATCCACAGTCGTGCTAAATTTCCAAGCCAAAGTTTATAGGACCAACCCATTAATCTCTCCACCCACAGTGCTGCCCTTCTCAATCGATGGAGAACTCCAGCTGGGAGCTGTTTGCAGCTTTTTGGCTCCAGCTTTTTAATGTGACTTAAATATAATTATTTACTGACCCATGTAGCTAATGAGCACGTGCTGTGGCTCCTTCCTTGAGGAGCTGTGAGCTGTTTGTGGGGAGGGCACAGCCTGGAGCTGTGTCCTGCAGGGATCTGGGGCAGTCTGACCTGGCATGGCCAGTGGTGACCACCCCAGGGCATGTGCTGAGGGAACTTGCACGCTTACACCGAAGGCAGCAGCTTTGGCAGGAGAGTCCTGAGGGAAAACTCTGCCACGGACAGCCCCTGGGAGAGGCCGAGGCTCCCGGGTGTACCTGGAGGGGCCATCCTGGCAGCAGCACAGCAGCTTTGTCCGTGAGGGACCAGGACACTGCTGGGACACCTCTGGCTGTGACTGGGAGCTGGGAGCTGTCACTGGTGTCAGCTGTGCAGGCCAGAGGAGACCCTCAGGCCAGGACATGTCCCCATGGCTGGCTGGACCGGCCTTGTGTGAGGCACCATGGTGGAGGACACACCCAGGGCCTGTTCAACCAACACTCTGAGGTAATTTTTTCTTTTAATCTCCAGTTTGAGCCACTAGACCTGCTGGCCTCTTTTTCTGGGCTTTATTTTAACTGCTGAGTGAAAAGTGAGGAGCAGCTTAGGTTCTAGGCTGCGTTTTGCAAGATCTGTGTGGAGTGAGGGGAGTGTGCAGGAGCAGGTCCCCTCAGGCAGCCGCTCCTGAGTTGGTTTCTTGGGCACATTCCCCAACAGAGGGGTCCAATGCTCTGGGAAAATGCTGCTGGCAGAGGGGCAGACACTGTCAGCCCAGAGAAATGCTGGATGCTCCTTACTTGAGAAAAAATGAGGTTTTTTGTTACATGTTGGGGATGCTCCAGGGTGAGGTGTCCCCTCAGTGCAGTTCCCTGCCCTGTCCTACCTGCCCAGCAGCATCTCAGATGGAACCATTGGGATTAGCCTGGGAATGGCAGTCTGACATAGCCACAGGGTGCAGGTGGTTCAGGGATGTTTCCACAGTGGATTTGAAGTTTGACTCCTGAAAAGCTGCTGTTCCCACTCCCAGCCAGCACCTCCAGTGTCACCTCGTGTCTTTGGGCTAACAAAATATGAATATTTTGCACCTGTGTGAAAGATAGTGAGGAGTGTAAAGCCAGGGAACCAAGCCTGTGGCATATTATATAAAATACAAAGCAGATTTTAAGGTGGTAAGATCTCTCCTTCCAGCTGGGCTTGGAGCAAGGCACAAGAGGAAAGGGAATTTTGAAAAGACTTCACTAATCAGTTCAGGCCTTGCAGGGCAAATTTTTTACGCTTCAAAAACATTTTGATGGTCTTCAAGTGATCATACTATACCAAACAGTTATCATTTGACTGACAGTAGTCTCTAAACCTGGTATATGTCTTAGAGTATCATCCCATGAGGCAGTGAGGTAGCTTTTCTCACAATGAGTACAGATATTTGGGGAATCAGAACAAAGCTGCTGTATGAATAATCCATGGAGCAACATACGTGTGTGTTATCTTCTCAGGCTTCCCCGTTCCCAGATTCCTCCCAGCAATGAGATGTTGGATATTCAGATTTATAACAGCAGGCTCAAAGAAAACTCCCTACTGTGTATGCTAAAAAGAAGGGGAGTAGTTTCGTTCCCAAATCTCAGCAGCTCAGTTGAATGTGCTGTACTACTGACCTACTTGCAGAGTAGTTACTCGCTGGTACATGAGAAAGACAGTGGGAAAGCAAACCACATGTTACTCTAGGGGCAGGAATCATCAACACCATGTGTCACAAAGTCTGTAATAGTTTCTAGCAAATTATGCTGTTCTTCCTGGGCTGGGGAGACACAAAATGACTCTTCGGTCATTTTACAATCAGGAGCTAAAGCTCAGAACTCCTAGGAGCTGAATGTTGCCTTGCTCTGACCATTTGGGGGGAAAAGAGGGTGTGGAGGCAGACAGAGGCTAAATGGGGTAGTAGCAGAGTAGGAAATAGATTGCAGGAGGTCTGACTCCTGAGAACTTGGGGGTTGACTGGGAGAACTGTTGCAAAGAGGAAACACATCTCATGGGAGCAGCAAGGGAGTACATTAGCAAGCTCCTGTAGTCTGGCAGCAGGCTCTGATCTGCTCAGGTTGTCTCGGCTGACACATTTTCTTCAGCAAAGCAGTCTCAAAGCCCTGACCTTGATGTTTTCCCTTGCTCTGTTCACTGTTCATGATGGCCCACATTTCAACGTTATCCTGAATCTCTGATGGCAGACTGGGATCTGGGCTGTGTCACTCCACTCTAAATGTCTTTTGACACATGCAATGCAGCAGGGACTCTCCTAGCTTGCGTAACTCAGGGTGAAATTCATCCTTAGAGCCAACTGCTTTTTGGATGCAAATAAAGGGTAGACCATATGACCAGTAAATTGAAGACTGTCCCAGATGTATAACCATAACTATTTGGGTTAATGGTGATTTTAAATCGACTTTGCAATGATATTATGTCAGCATAACCTCTGGCATGGTGTTTGAATCTGAATTTCCATCACACTGAGATCTTTGTGCTTCAGCAGACGAACAATGCAGTTTGTATTTTTACGTGATAGTGTGTAACTGTTGCTGAAAAGACAGAGAGGAGCTGGACTGTGGCACCAACAGAGGTAATGGAACTCAGCTGCTGAAAGGCTGTGCTTGCTCTCTCTCCCTGCTGTACTGCAGAAAATTGCTGGTAGTGTTTTGTGAAGCACTGTCTCTCCTGGACACCCTTTGGCTTTTCTTAATGTGCTCAGGCTTTTATTTAAAACCTGCACAGTCACCGGGCAGGGCTGCTCTCAGCCCTTCAGGAATCCTCTGGTCAGCCTAAGCACCTGTCCCCCACGACAGAGAAATAATCCATGACCAAGCTTGTCCTTTAGCTCTGGCTGTCCACAGCAGTGAATGGGGGAATGCCCTGAGGAACAGCAGCAGCAGCAGCAGCAGCAGCAGCAGCAGCAGCAGCAGCAGCAGCAGCAGCAGCAGCAGCAGGGTTTGCTTTCATTCTTGGAAATACTGTGTTAATCTGGATTAAAGGTGCAGCCTCTCAGTGGCCCCATTCCACGGAGCAGCAAGGCCAAGCCATGGGCACAGCAGAGCTTCCCTGCAGCAGAAAACAGCTGGACTCTTCCCATCACTCTGCCAGAGCTGGGGAGGGAGGAGGAGCCTTGCCAGGACTGTCCTGTGCACAGGCGTGTGGTTCAACACTCGCTGCCTAAAATGCAAAGTCCAGGGCCACAGAGGGTGCAGGACATGGCTGAAAAACATCTGCTAGTTCTGCAACCCCAGCAGCTCCTGCCATCCTGCTGTTTTCAGGCTCTGAATATCGCTGGGATGCTGACTTCCCAAATGACTGTAGGCTCAAAAAGTAAAACTTACTCTTTTGAATAGATATGGTGTAGTAATCATTTGAAGACCTAAAAATGGGACCCTCAGGAAAGCAACTGTTTTTCTCTGGAATGAATTGATCAGGCCTCACATGGTTGGCTTATCTGAGCAAGGCACACATTGTGAATGCAGGATGTGTCCCCGTAATAAAGGCTGTGTAACTGAGATCTGATTCAGCAGTGAGTGGGGCCTGGTTACAGATTCATAGCATAAAGTAAAAATAGTGATTCTACTATGTCAGATTGGTTCTAACTGTGCTTGCATTTTTTTGCTTTTTGTTTGGTTTGGCTTGTAGTTTTCAGGAGTATGTAAGCCAAAAAAAATACCAGATTACTTTCTGCTGCCCAACACTGGTTCAAAACTGGAAACCATGATGAAAAATTTCGATGCAAAGCTAAATAATGATTCAAAACCACAACCTTCAAATTCTTCCCTCCTGTCCTACAGCTAGTGGTGATAAAAATGAGAGCTGATTAACTTCTTGGGTTTTAACCAAGTGTCAGCCATAACACTAAATACTTGGTAGCTGGAAACCCAAAGGAGGAAATATTAATAATGCAGTATTGTATTTATGATTTATGCTATTATGATTTGACTATTTAAACAGAACATAATGGGTTTGAAGTAAAACATGAAAATTCAGTTTGAATATCAGGAAACACAGACTGCCTGATCCTGTCGCAAGGGAAGGGGTGGAAACGCGGCTGTTTGGCTCTCGGGGAGGCGGGAGGCAGCGGGTGCCGGTGGCGGAACGGAGCCGCGCCGTGCCGGGACAGTCCCCGCTGTTCCCCGCTGCCCCAGGCAGTGCGTCCCAGCGAGCCGGATCCTGCCCCAGGGGATCCTCCCCAAACCGAGAGCAGGTGCCGGAGCACTGCCGA